TAACTCTATTTACAAATGTATAAATATTATGACCTTGGAACAAAAACCGTCAATTGATGGTTTTTGTAATTTAATAAATATATTAAAAATACCCAAAGACATTGATGTCTTGTTTAAGGAGATTGTAATTCTCTCTATTTTTTATGATTCGCCAGAATACTTAAAGTTAGATTGTCTAAAAGCAGAGAACGGGTAGAATTTTTTTGTAATAACAATAAATCCCCATGCTTGGAAAAAAAATTGCAAGTATGTCTTCTTACCTCATTCTAATGCCTCATTCGAGCGCATTTTTAGCCTGATGAGGACTGTCTAGAAAAAGGATTGCTTTAACAACATTGTAGGCCGAGCTAATGGTTAAACAAATTTATAATATGTCATGCCAGGAATTTTATAAATATCTCAATAACGACGGTAAACGTTTAGTTCCATTATTCTCAAATAAAATATCATATTTTTTTATTTATACATTCGCATAAAATAAATATATTTTTTACATTGTAAATCAATAATAGAGAGCATTACAATATCCTCAAACAAGACATCAATGTCTATCGGTATTTTTAAAATATTTGAACATTTTAATAGTTTTAGCAATGGCGCCATAAAATTTATTGTCAATTTTTAACTGTAAAGATTAACACATCTGCAGCATATTTTTGTGAGTCTTTGTTAAGATTCTTCTGATTGCAACTGCACATTAAAAGTATGTAGTAGATTTCCTACATGTTAAATCATTCCTAAATATACCTCTGCCATTCATTACTGAAAAAAAATTTCAAAATGTTAGGACAGCTTTTATAATCTTTATTTAAGAAATATTTAAAGGTTTATAAAATTTTAAAATTCTATAGATGGCGGGTATTAGGAACATATCGCAACCAACATTGTGCTGACTCAATTCTGTAAATACACTCTGGTTTTTTCCAAATTCACTAAGGCATTATCAGATCATAAAGTTGACATATAATTTATTGATAATCCCGAATCTGCTATATTTACCATTATATGGTTAGCTATGTCTTTGGATTTTTCACTATTTGAGGTAAAAAATAATTTTGTTGAAATAGCGAAGGGTCAAATAAAATATTTTAATATTTCCCTTATTTGATGCATCTGTTAGAATTGCATATGTATGCCCCTCTTTCAAATCGTCAAGAATTGACCTCCTGAATTCAGGTTCTAAAAATTGATGATATCCTTGCTCATTTTTGTTCTACAAGTAAAGTTTTCATTTATCTTGGAGTCGTTAAATATTATGGGGAAAGATTCTACTTACATTGTAATGATAAGTAGCTATGTGAATGTTGTACTACAAGATAAGTGATTACAATTGCTGCAACCGTAGTTGCATCTGTATTATTTCTTATTTTTGGAGAATATTTTTGTTTTGCAATTGGTGTGGATACACTCTCCTGCACTGATTATAATAATGTGATTGAACAATAATAAGTAAAATAATTATCATTTAAATGAGTACAATATTACCTTATTATATATTTAAACGTGATACGTGATAATTAAGAGTCTATCCCTATAATGTTATACTCACACGCAAGGTAGATTTCCAATTGCGGATGTTTTACGGGACATTCGCATAAAATATATTTTTTACATTGCAAAATTAAAATCGTTTGTTTTTTTTTATAAAATTTTATCTTGTTTACATTCTTTTTTATAAATTAATATATTTTAATAAATCAAGATGTTATTTTATTTTGAAAAATAGTTACCGAATTTGTATTTATATAAACTAATTATAAAAAATAATAGGATGATAATTAAGTCAATTCAAAATCCCGGCCGGTGGGCCTTTTTTAGCAAATTTGTTATTTCTACTGCAATTTTCATATTTCTCCTGCAAAATACCAAATTTCTCCCGCAATTAAAAATTTTGACCTGGCAACCCTGTCCATAAGAGATAGAGCATGTAATTATTTATAGTCAAGATTGAACATGTATAAATTTTTGTAACCTATTGCAGAAAATCGATTTATAGCAAACCTATGTGGGTATCATTGTCGAGCAAAATTATTCTTTAATACATCAATATATAATTTATTTGATAACTTAGATTGCTTAATTTAATAGTTTTCTCTTTTTTTAGTCACTGCAGGGGAATTTAAAATTATTTAAAATTTTAAATTAATCTGTCCAAAAAATGTTTGGGTTTTATCAAAATAATTTCCACCTCACATCTTAGAGAATAAATGGAACCTAATCTGATTTTTTAAATTATATTATTTAATATTTTTGATACTTATAAAACTTTCATAAAATTGATAGAACCAGATTTAAATTATCTTATTTCTTATTTTTTATACTTATAAAACCTTAATAAAAACTGTTGGAATTGGTTAAAGATTCAGATGACTCTTATAATTTTTTAATAAACTTTCGGTTCAGATTTATCTAAAAATATTTAATTATACAAGTTCGGTTAGATGTTCTGTACAAAAAATTGAGGTGATAATCATATATGTATCTAACACATTCAGACCCATTTTATTTTATATTTTACTCTATCCTCAATTTATTGCATTTATAGGATAATTTATTTTTTTCAATCTCAAATCTTTTTTCCTTTCTTAAAATGTAAACAATTTTTTTTTCTCAATAAATTTATCCGCTTTTTAAGGGATAAAATGAACAATTCATAGAAACTATAATATTAAACGAATCTCTAAATAAGTAATGATAGCTTTGGTCACACAAGTATCCTGAATATTGACATAAAAGCGAGGTTACCAAACCATTTTCCAAAATTTGGGCTAATTTCTCAAAGGGTATGCCAGATATTTTTCACTCAAAGATATGTTCTTTTATAATAGTTTGGGTCTCGCCCTCTGTACACTTAATTGCTCTCAGCGTCTACATGAGCGGGAGGGGTAGGAACAGTTTGCATCCTATTTTTTGAGGGTGTATGGGGTAAGCTTCTTTAATGGGGGTAAGATAAATTTTTTGGGGGGGAGATGAAATAGGACAAAATTTATTGCTGTAAAAATTAATACTTTTATTATAGTATTATTATAATACAATTCATCGACCAAATCTATATATTGCAAACAATCATACACATTGTTTTCCAAATAAACTATCCTTTTAAATTACATTTAAAAGGTTTAGATATTTCAGCAAGCTCATAATGCCATAATAATAAATTCATTGTAAATAATGGAGGTTTTAATTGAATTTATTATCTAAAAAAATAAATTCTTTATATTCATAAAATATCGATAGTTGATAGTAGATAGTAGAGAGTAGATATAGATTAATTTAAGTTATCCTTTATAAATTATTTGAAAAGAGTATCAATAAATAAATAGGTGAAAATAATGATAAGGCTGGAATTTTTTAGGGGGGTAGGCAAAGGTTTTTGAAGGGGGTTTGCATCCAGTGAAAATCCTGTCATGTAGACGCTGATTGCTCTGCATCTTCTAGGTCCTTGGGTCGGAATTTTTAGGATAAATCTGATTTAATATTTATTTACTATCTGTAATTATTTTGATATATTTCTATAATTTTATAAATAAAGCATATTAATTAATTATATTACATAGATGATTTAAAAATAGATAAAAGAAATTTCCAATCGGTAATGTGGAGATAGGATAAAATTTGTATAAACATTATTTATTCGTTTAAACTTAGGTTCAGGTTTTCTCCACATGCAGTGTCTACAATATAGGATTTTCACTGGATGCAAACCCCCCTCAAAAACCTATGCCTACCCCCTAAAAAATTTAGCTGTCTTTGCCGGCTATGTTTCCACATTATTAATGAGACCTATTTATAATGGTACTCCCTTCATAAATTTTAAAAAGAATTATTTAAATTATTTTAGACCTATACCAACTATCAAAATATTCTGGATATAAAAGAATTATTTTTCAGATCATGAATTCAATTAAAAGTTCCATTATTTACAATGAATGCATTAATTTAGTATATTGTTTGGCATGAGTATGCGTTTGCTGAGAATATCTAATCATTTTAAATGTAGCATAAAGTCTTATTTGAAAAATAAAAGTCTATGATTGTTTGTAATATAAAGATTTGGTCGATGTTCAACAATATCAATGTATTATAATAGGTCTACAATAAAAGTATTAATTTTTGCAGCAATATATTGCTCTATTTTAAAAAATTCAAATTTAATAGATAACCCCCCAAATAAATTTATCCTACTCCATTAAAGGCGTCTACCACTTATCCGCTTAAAAAAATTGGATGCAAACTATTCCTACACTCCCGCCTAAATAGACTGTCCCACCATAATTATTAAACCGTGTGTTCTCTCGGATGATATATATAAAAATGAAATAGAGAATATATTTAGATATGTTCTATAAATGGAGAGTTATTAATTAAAGAAATAAAATCCATTTATTTTTCTTGAACGTTCATATAATGCAATAACTTTTTATGCTGAGATTTGGATTTAATAATTTAAATATGGATCAATGAATGAGATTAGTTGGGTTGGCTAATATTACCACAATTTTTTAAAACACCTAAAATATTAAATAGATAATTTTTTTTCTAAAAGATGAAATTGTGTGTGTGTGAGGAATTATTTTTTTCAATTTGCTAAAAATAAACTTAAGAAAATGTGAGGTGTGACTGTGAGAAAACGTGAATGAGTCAGAAATTAGACATGAAATCGGAGAATAACTCCTGAATCATGAGATTGGGTAATTTTGTCGCGACCTACCTGGGACATCAAGCTGAAGATAGGCTTGTTATGGAGTAAACAATAGGAAATAGGGGAAAATCTAAGCTTGTTGCCTCCTAGTCCTACTTTTTCTATATGCTAATTTATGTTAAATTTTTTAAATTAATTTATTATGATAAAGAATGAATTTAAAAAAATTAAGCCATAATAAATATTTTTGTTGGATTTGTTGGATTAATTTAACTATAGAAACATTTTTTTCTTCCTTTTCATGATATATTTCAACCTATCTACCTAAGGTGATCAAAAATATTCCTCTCAAATTTAAAAACCCAATTTGCATCAATACAGAAAAGCTCGACCTTTTAAAGATTATTCAAAATTAATTAATAAGTATAACTAACATAATACTAATAAAATATTTATTTATATATTATTTATATTAATAATTATAATTAGAGGTAATATAAATATATTATTCAGGGTGTCAGATTCAGATAGCGATACATATTATTCAACAAAATCTTCATTAGATACTATAGAAAATGAGCTGTAAGTAACTTTTATCTGTATCTATTTGATGCTTTAATTATTTTTATTTAATGTTACTGTGCAATAATGCTTTATAATTTCATTAATTTTTGTGACTAGTTTAATTTCCAAATTATTATGTATCATAGTTTTTCATCAAAATATATTTTTTTATAATTAGCCATATTTTATGAAAATAACATTACTTTAGTTTAGAACTAGAGTGAAATTATTTTTTGTTATGTTTGAATTTATAATGAATATTAATTTTTTTTTAAATTTATCAACTCTAATACTATTTTCATATTAACTGTGATTTATTATTGATTCCACAATTATGTTTCATTTGATATATATATAGTATTAGATAAATTTGTTGCTTTGGAATTTTTTTAAAAATAAGAATTTACAAATTTTTCACATATATAATATACATCTTTTCTATTATTTAGCCAATTAAATTATGTAAAGGATCTTGATACTAAGTAATAATACACATTTAAAGACCCTTTTTAATTAATATTTTATTTTATCACTATATAGGATTATTTATTATATGTATTTTTACAAGGGATCCAAACCCTTATGTTATATGATTTAGTTTAATCTAGATATTAACATTTTTAAAACATATGATTCAATTCAGTTATTTTCTAGTTTGCTATAATGATTTGTTTCAGTTCATTTTCATTATTACTGTTAATTTAAATTTTTAAAAAATAGTGTAATCATGGTAGAGTCTTGTAATTTTATCTGAAGCCAGACTTTAGCCTTAAAAGAATTGCTCTAAAATAAAATGACAATTATATTTTTTCTGTGATTATGTCAAATCAATTAGTTATTTTTATTTATCTTATTTATAAAAATGTGCTGAAATTTAAAATTTATAATGTTGAGGCCTATTTAAAAAAATAAATAATGAAAACATTTGGGTATTACCTCCACACATAGAAATTATATTTTTGATAATTTTAATTAGAACTTTTTTAATAATATAGTTTTTTTTAACCACATAAGGTTCTCTTTCAGTATTAATTTGATGAAAGGAAAACACTAACATTTTCTAGAATTATGTTTTTGGCCATGTTTTTATCTTTATATTTAAAATAGCTTATTTATTTTTTATCATTTAAGTTTTGAAAGCTTTTCAATTTAATTTTTTGAAGTTTTGGACAAAGTATAAAGAATTATATTTAAAGAAAATTTAAAAAAAAACTTATTCATATTGATTTTAAAAATATTGAACTGAATATAACAATTTGGTTTTTTTTTAGAGATAGATTTTACATACTGTTAGTTCCAGGAATATAATGGTTTATATGGATCCTTGCTTTTTATGTTTAGATACATATTTTAATTTTTAAATGTCATAAGCATAGGAATATTAGAGACATATAAACGTTATAATATATCTACAAATATAAAATTTATGACAAAAATAAAATGTTATTTATATAGAAACAAGAATAATTATATTCAGTTTTTCTTTTAGAATACTATACAACAACATTTAAAATATCTTCTAACAAGGAAACATAGAATGGAAATTTCTTGAATAGTGTCTGTTAAGTCACCAAACTTTGGCTAACATCAAAATGAGTTAGTCAGCTTTGGGAGAAATTTTGGAACAAAAGGTTCACAATCATTACATTGCTTTCTAGGAACTGTTCTTGAACACTGAGAAAGAACTGTTTTTTTTTGCAAAATCAATATAATATAATAGGTTAAAAATTGCAATGGATAATTCGAACTCAAATTTATGTTCACAACAACAAATCATAAATATTAATCTTTTAGATATTATATTGATACTTAGCTAGATGTAATATAAAATCATGAACATAAAGGCCTAGGACAAAAAGGCACTAGGCAAAAATATCCAGGAATATACACCAGACAAAAATACCCAATTTTAGAAGAAAAAATTAAAGGCTTGAAGAGGCGAGTTTTTGGCTTTTCACTCGGGCCATTTCTCTCCGATGGTGATTATTTGTATAATCAAATTCGATTTTTTTAAAAAAAGAGAAATAGCCTTCAAGAACGATTCGAAACCTGTAACGGGACCGGAAGGGAACAAGAATGAAATAACTTGTTCCCGGTCCCTGCTTTAAACACATTAATTTCATCATTACTTACAGTTACAAAAAAATATAATTGATTAATGGTTTTTAAAATATTTAGTCACAAAATTCTGAATTAACCATTTTAAGGCGTTGTGAATAGATAATTCTAATAAAACTATTCCGCCCCTTCAACCATTTTTTATCGTATAAAAAATATTTTTTTGTAATCGTATAATTTTATTTATTTTTTTAAGTTCACGTTATAAAAAAAATTCTTTCTTTTCAAGTTTTTTTTTGTCGCTTATAATTTAAAAATTCATTATTCAAATTGAGTTGAAATAAGATACTTTTTTTCTTGTTTTTGTTTACTTAATTTTTTTATGTAGGTGTCACTTTTTTTCTTCAAAATATCGCATATCAAAAATAATTTAGTTAAGATTTTTTATGCTTGCATGTGCAGTGAAAGAAAAGAATAAAAGTAAATATGCTGTGTACATAATGGAATAGAAAAAAAAATTGCTTTTGCTCCATTTTATAAACAACAAAATACCACAAGTTTTTTTGATTGTTTACATTTTAAAGATTTATGAAATAAAAAATGACATGGTTTTTTTAATTATATTAATATTCTGCCATATGTTTTTTCTTTTTGCCCATCGTCTCGTCTATCTTTTCTTTTCAAAATATATGAATACGCGTTTTTTTTGTAATAAAAATTGAAATTCCCTATATCACCTACTGATAAATAAAATATATTATTAATATGCATCAAAAGTAAGTTTATTTATTATTGATTTTAAAAATATTGTGAAAATTATTATTTTTTAATTGTTGATATTGAATATTTATACAAACTACAATATTCGCTAATCGATAAAATCTTATAGTTGAGCTTTTATATCGTTCGATTAAATAAACAGTTTCTTTTAGAGTTTGAAATGCTCTTCAAAGTAAAAAATCATCTTTAAAAAAAGGGATTTTGATCTTTTAAAAAAAATTTAAATTCAGTGATTTTTAAAATAAGAGAGATTTTGATTTTTCAAAAAATCTTAAATATGGTTTTTTAGAGGCCTATTTTATATTGTGATATCCTATATAAACCAATCGGGGGTCAGCTATAATATTTCACAATGTTTCGATATTCCTATATTTAATGGCAAGTAGTCCTAAAGGACCACCCTTTCACTCCGGAGGCCCGGTTGTTGGTAACATCAATAAAATATAGGCCCGTAAAATATTAATGATTAGGTAGGAAATATTTACTATTCATTTTTATAGTATTATTTTGTAATAAATAGTATAAAATGGATAAAAATCATTAAATTATTGTTTCCCGCAATAATCCATATACAAGTTGTTTTTTTTAACCTTACCCTATGAGAAATTATATTTTTTAAATTTATTTTAGAGAATAAAAATACATATACTTTATAAAATGCCTTGTTTTTATTTTAAATCTTTTTTTTATAAAGTTTAAAAAAAAATCTTTTTTGGCATAAATGTCTTGGCTTTTTTAAATATTGACTTATTTGTACTAGTTAAAAAAAAGAAATTTTGGCAGTTTGAATTATCGAAAACATAGCATTAAAAAAGTTTGAGGTTTGATTTATAATAAATATCTAAATAAAATCGTAAATAGAATGTCTGGCAGACCCCACTTAACGCTTACCTCATTTTTTCTTTCTAGGGTTTTGATTAGTAATAAATGAAATAATTAGTATATTTGATTTCTCCTATAAGGATAAATTTTTATTGAAATCAAAGAAGGGTTTAAGAGGATCCTATTTAAAAATCGATACAACCCATAAATAAAACAATATTTTATTTCATAAAAATCATGAATCCATTTTCTTAATCTTAAACCAAATCTATGGCACAAAATAAACTAACTTTACCAGTTTTCGTAAATTATATTATGTACTGAAACGTGAACTATACACATGTGGTGTCTATAATTTATATTAACATTGAATTGAATACATGAACATACAAAACATTGTTAAACATAAACCTAAAATGATTGATAAATAATGAATGATAAATGAAACCATTATTTAAAAAATAAAAAAACGTGGTTTGAAATTGAAAATGCATATATTTTTTTATAAAGATTAATCTTTCTATTTCAAATCATAGTAAACATTATTTCAAAAAAGTTTTTAAAAAACCGAGAAAAGAGATGAAAATGAAAGAAATAATTTGAGAAACGAATTTGAGTCCCTCTCATAAACAATCTTTTTTTTTGAAAAAAATTTCCTTAGTGCGTCGTTGCATAAATTTAAAAAATCGCTAATGGGTTTGTGATTCGTTTATTATATTAAAATTTTAATATCGCTTTAATTAGTTGTCTGCGTTTTTATAGCAAACGCTAAATTTGTAAGAAGTGTTAAGGGAATTTTGACAATCATCGTTCTGTGTAGATTTGTCAAATACTATGTTGGAGAAATTCAAGATGTTTATTCATTATCAAAACCCCAAAATCGTCTTAATCGGACATGGATGTTCCAGACAATAATGCCCCAAGGAAAATGATAGGAAAGGGAATAAATTATTTAAAACAACGAAATTATTTTGGCTAAAAAATAATAGATAATTTATAAAAAATCTAATTTTATTTTTGATTAATTATTAGATTGAGATGCTATTACTAAGACCGTAAGGACATCTCTATTAGGGCTTCAGATAATAAATATCGAATCGAGGCCTATATTTATTGGTTTTTTTGGATAAAGCCCATATTTGTAAAAATCGATTCTATATTATTTGCTTTTAGCTATTTTATAAGTTAATATATTTTTTTTAAAACTTATTCTAAATTACAGAAAAATGAGGGTTTCTGGCCCAACTTTTTTCTGGAATAATTAGAACCGGCTTGGGATTTTCTTCAAAAATTTCTATATTATAATCTAATTGATGATAATAACATCTCTTGGGAAATGTGCCATGAATGGCCTTGCTTTTGTTTTTTTGAAAAATAGGTATTAAGATTTGGGTTTAACCAAACAAATTTTATATCAATGTATAGCCTAATTATTAATCACTTGTAAAAGACCTATGTTAATATTTCTACATTTTTTAGTTATATAAAAAATTAATTATTCACTAATTTAATTAGTATTAATATCCCAATTTATCATCATCTATTTAATGATAATATTATAAATTAATATCTTAATTATCTTTTTGCTAATCATTCTTAAGCTTGTTCATCATTTGAAATTTCACCAAATTGATTTGCACGAGCTTTCCATTTAAATATGAATGTGCGAATTGTGGCCAATCAATACATGGTCAGATAACCTCTCTAATGCGCCTTTATATGTCTATTAAATAAAACTTTTAAACTCTAATTTTTTGTGTGAATAATGCTAAATGCCTAAGGATAATATTTATAAAAAATATCAGTAATCTAAATTAGTAATTTTTTCACCAAACAAAAAAAATGTGTAAAGTGATTTTTTCAAAAAGAGGTACTAAAAACAGTTTATTTAATATATTTTTTTATTGGATTGCTCTATTCAATAAATGAACTTAGGTAAGGTACATAACATAAATATATACATTTTGACTAATTTTGAGAAAAATCGGTCCAATAGATAAAAAGTTAAAGTGTCGTGGCCAATCTTCAAACATGGCCATTTATGGCACATTTTCCCTTATCCTTATTTTCTCTAGTTTGAAACTCACCATAAAAAAATACATTCAAATTATTTAAACCAGACTGCCAATAAAAAATTGTTTTGATTGTGATAGATTTTCATTAAAAAAATTGGAGACTTTACCCCCAACCTCTCTTTTCTCTGACCTCCGGTCGGGTTAGAAAGAAAATTAATCCCTAGTTTGAAAAAAATACTAATTGCGGATTGATTTTCAAATATTTATAAAAAATATAGTGGGGATTTTTTCTTAAAGTTTTTAATAATGATTATTTTAGAGGGATCGAATTTCTTGATTTTTAAATTTCTTTTTTAGGCATAACACATGATCTTTTGGCAATCGGTCAGAAGTGTACTGAGCAAAAGGCACTGGACATAAATGCCCCCGGACAAAAAAATTAAATTTTTTTAATGTTAGGAAAAAGGGGAAAGTTTTTATTAATTTTTTCCTCGCATATTTCATTTTCATTCATATAACATTAACTTGAAAATGCGCTGCGCTATATGCATTTTTACACAAATTTTTATAAAAAACCTTCTATACAAATTTTTATAAAAAACCATCCACATAGGTGAAGTATACTGACTAAATGTATGGCTAAGCAAATCATGGCAAGGCCTATTGTGGGTTAGGGTTAATCTAAGCATAAAAGTAGTTTATGAGAAATACTTAATTTTATTAGATACTAAACCCATTACATTCGGTAATGTCTATCAGAATAAATTTTTTTTTATTAAAATGGAGGTATTTTTGTCCGGGTGTATTTATATTCATTGTTTTGGTCCAAGGTATTTTTGTTAAGTACATTTAATACAAACTAATAATATGTGGAAAGTTGTAGGCCTTAATACTTTTTTGAGTATTGATATTGGTAGTATGAGTCAATAGAAAAACCCATTTTAATGAAAATCAATTAGCTTTGATAAATGATTATTTACATATAATTTTTAAAGGTAACAAGAGGCGAAAGTTAGAGATATGGACTAAGCATAGGACCTTGATTTGATTAAAAACAAGTTTTATAATGGTATAATGTTGAAATCCAGGAACTCCTACTATCTGGACGGGGGTCTGACACAAGATCTTCAATTGAAGGTGGGTAGGGAGTTTTTTGATTTTCGATGCCAAGTAACTTTCTCCAAAAGAAATGGAGTTGAAATTTCGAAGTTTTTGCAAATGCAAAAGTATTAGAAGAGGTAAATGGCTTAATCATATTATACGATGCCATGCGAATACTAAAATAGAAAAGGTTAGAAACTTTAAAAATACTTTTCTGATAATATATTTTCTAGTGTTGTTAAAGTAACTAGTACTTGAATACATCTTTTCAATTCGAAACCGGTGGGTAGCCCACCATTAATCACGTTGGGTAGTATAGAATAGAATAGTCATTTAAAGTGTAAAAGTGGCTATTAGTAATAGAGTTTTAACTAGTCATAAACAAATCACAATCACAGGAAATTCTTAATTGGGAAATGGAAATTGCGTAAATGAATAAGTGAAATGTCTTAGATGAAATATACATATGATTCTGATTGACATTTAGATTTAACAAAATAATATATAATTCTAGGCCGAGTCCGAGAAAAAGGTTTTCAGTCCGACTCGGACGCCCGTGCATGGCTCTGATCACCGATAATCAACTGATTCTATTTTTAATATCACCCGATTCAATTTTATAGTCATAGTGGGCAAAAATATCTACAAATAACCCATAAATATATCAATAAAATAAATATATAGCACAACTATGGGTTATTACTGCGCAATTAATTTAACGTGATCAGCGTGTAACCTATATTCTTAATAATATGAATGATCACCTATCTGATCCTATAATTAAATAATATGTCTAGCATTAATTAAATTTAGACTTAAAATTCATGATAACAGGGGGTTTTTATTCTGATTACCTCTAAAGCCTTATATTGGCTAGGGTGATTGGGTGAAATGGCTGACTTTCATTATTAAATATTTTTCGTTAGTATTTCATTTAGAACAAACGTATGGCAATATAGGCCGGATGTTTATTAAAGTTATGAATGTTATATTTTCTTTTTTTATCAAGGATACAATGTCCGGTAAATTTATGTTCGAGATTCAAACAGGATTCAATTTAATACTAAAGTTTTTTATTGTTATGATTTATATGATAAGGACCTATTGTTTAGATTTTCTTTTGGAATATTCGGAATCTTAAATTTTTAAAATATTTATAATTTTAAATCTGCCAATCAAATGATCACAATATAGTAAATAATGTTTATAAATTCTTATCTATTAACCATAATATCCTTATTGGTTTTTTTTGCGTTCAATTTTTTTTTAAAATTCTCATCTAAGATCCTTTTATTATACAAAATTGCGGTTGTACGTGATACATGAACAAAAACCATATGCGAGCAATTTAATCTCCTACATTTTACGAGTATTATATATAATGTTTTTTCTTGGATTTATTTCTATTTAATTATTTAATTCTAGATAAGGTTATATTTAAAAATGATCTATTTTCCAGACCTTTTATGGCATTATATAAAAAAATTATGGCATGAATTTTTATACATTATTTCCTAATACATTGTTACTTATTTGAGTTCGTTCGGTTGTTATTTTTACAATAATCTAGTTGATAATATTATTAAAAAAAAATTAAGTTACCTATATTAAAAAATATTCATAAAATTTGTAGATCTATATTCGTGAATCAAACTTCTCACCCAGCAGGCCAAAATGGAAACCTCAACACTCTCATACCCGATAATTCCCTATCCCCTCCCATCAACCCCCTGAAAATTTCCAATTTTTTCCCTGATTACAATTACACGAATCATTCACTGAACCATCATATTAATCAAACCGATTTCATCGAAAAAATTGATTTACCAAAGCTGAAAGACAACATACTTACCAGCGCGAAAGAAAACAACATTACCTACGGTAAAGTTATCACCGATTCGGTCGACAATATAATTGATTTCGTTGAAAAAACAAATAACCAGATCGGCCACATGGTGGGTAACAACCCCGTAAAGTCGCCGAAAAAGTTTGTCATGTCTCTCACGGCCAATTCTAGCCCAGGAGTAACCCACAATGTAGCATTGTCGAAACGTTTTGTTACTCACAGGGTAGCCTCAGTACCGATGGTTTCGGATATCTCTACCCTAACGCGCACCAAATATATAAAAGCTAAGACCCGTTACCCCATCTTGATTGGGCTGCCTTTTAATGCCACCGAGAACGTCATCAAAATCTTTCTCAAATCGTTCGTCAAACCAATCTTTAAGAAGATATTCTTAGACTCTACTGGAGAAAAATTTGACAAAAATGGTTTTTTGGGAAGTTCGGGTGCGTGTTATTTTTTTTATAAATTCTAATTATATTGATTTGGAATTTTGAAAAAAACTTTTGAAATATTATCATAAAATACTTAAGAAACATCTCTTTATCATTGATATCGTTTATTCATGATCTTTTCATTACGATTATCATAAATAGAAGTTGTTTTATATTTGATGGTGAATCATAAATTATGCCTATTTCTTAATAGGTTGATCCTAGCATTTTTAACAAGGAGATACATATACTATGTTTTGTCTGAAATTTTAAAGATAGGTATTTTACACATACTAGAATATATTTCAAAATCTTTATTTTGTTAATTTTAAATTATTTAGCGCGTTTTTTAAATTTGGAAAGTTTAACTTTGCTGGAATATATTCCAAAAATAAATTTCATACAATTATTATTAAATATTAATATCACATTTCCGCTTACATATATATTTGGCACGCAAACCCAGGACGACTCAAAGAATGATATTATTTTACAAATCTGGGCTCGGCTGATTCCTAAATATCAAAAATATATTTCGTAAACTTTCGAAACTTTAACAAAAGAAGAATAAGCTATTTTTAATATATAAATAAAATAAACATAATTCTAGAAAATTTCAAATTTTTTTTTATTTTTCCGAATTTTTAAGCCAGGTTTAGGACACAGTCTTAAAACAATTTACGAAATTTTATAAAATTTCGGGCTATAAGATGATCATAATAAAAATCCCGGACTTGCCTGAAAACAAAAAAGAATTTTAAGGCCAGGCCGGAAATTTTGACCTCTACGGGACTCGATAACAATGCCTCCGGTTTCGTCATGCATTAAAACGCCATTTCTATATATTTATCATTATTATAATTCATGTTTAGCTGATTACCTAAACTCCTTCGCAATGTCGAAGATGAATTTGCTCGAAAAAGAAATCCCGCTTCTCTTTGAGCCCTCTGATAAGGTTCGAGCATTACTGTTTTCATAACTTACATAAATTTAATTTTATGTAAATTAGTATTTTTTTAAAAAATTATTAAACATTATATACATTATGTACATATGATCATTTTTTTAAACATGATTTATTTTTAAAAAAAGGTACTGGAAGGTCTCAGGCCCATATACACCATAACAATAAAACCATTCGTCCTTTTGACCATGTTTGCAATCAATGTGGTAATCGATTATTTTATTTAAATTTATCAATTTACTTATCTTATTAATATATTTTATGAATATGATTTAACATATCTAATTAATATGATTTAAAAGACGATTAATTTTATGATAAAAATAATATAAAAAAATGTAGGCTGAAGTATACATCATCCTAATTTAAAATTGAGTTTCAGATAATTTAGCCCTTTTTATATATGGGCCTTTATCAATTACATCATATAATGAAAAAGAAATATAAGCTAGGATCTTCCTATTGGAATGATAACCTTTGGGTCGCACTCCATATTCCATAAATTTTGTTGGAAGGTTTTAGGCTGCTTTTTGTGTCTTTTTTGTTCAGTATACATTTTTCTAAAATAATTTTGGTTTTACACAATTGAAAATTAAATTTTTTATCGTTTAAATGACATATCATGTATAGCATTTTTTAGGGAGGGGTGTTAACAGCACTACCTTAAATGATTTTCAAAAATTCCCAAATTTGCTAGCGGGGGGGGGGAGAATTTTCCTTCTCTTATGTTCATGATAATCTTATATTTATAATGCCCATTTTGAACTCTTTTTTTAAACAGATATTAAGCATAATGAACGGTACCTTCAGTACCGCGAATAAAGGTAAAGAAAAAGCCAAGGCCCAACTCGGGGAAGCTTTTGACACCTATTTAGACGGCCTAGACTACTTTTTCTTCAATACCCCTCCTGGGAGGTATTTTGTCAAGATACTTTACCTTTTTTCCAACACTTACCTGCCAACATCTCCCAAACAATCATCGACTCCAACCTCTGGGATATCCAACAAAATTCATGTCAATGAGAACGCCGTTATAAACAATTTTTTTGATACAGTGAAGCCCGACAAGCTGGAAGAAAAGGGGCAAGAAAAATTGGACATCAAATTGGGAAACAAAAAAAGAGTGTTAAGACCGTACCCCATTAATCCTGCTGCCCCAAATATTAGTAGCGAGTCGGAATCCGTTTTAAAAAAGATTATGAATGCTTCTGCATCTTTCAACGAACGCAAAAAGAGTCCTAGGGTTTATTATATATATACTGATATTTTTGTATTGATTAAACGATGGGGGTAAAACAACTTATTACATAATATTTATTCAAGTAGTTTTTAGAGCTATTATTTTGTTTGTGTTTTATTAAAAACAATAATTTATTTTGAATTTTATTCATTATCACATCTTCGAAAATGTATTTTATCCTGAATCTATAAATATTTTTATAACGACAAAGTTTTTAAGTTGAAACATTTAAAAATAATTTTATGTAAAATTTGTTTATTAATTAAAAAAAAATCGGTCAATAGTTTGTTTGTTAGAAATATAATTTGCTCGCTTGGATTTGTAACCCATTTGAATGATAAATTATTCCTCTAGAATTTTTTGTTGATTTTATGACTATCTTTCTCTTGTCATGAACATAGTGCTGATCTTATGCAGAATTTTGCTTGCATAATTATTCTTTTTCTTCACATCGCTTATTACATTAAACACACCTTTCTCCAACTTTCATCGTTAAAATAATATATATTTTAAACAGGCAAAACTTGAAAATTTGGTGCTAGAGGTCGATTCGGTTCAACCTAAACCGATTGATAGTGTCCTCTACTTGATTCTGACCCTCAAGAATAGGCTTAATTTCGTATTCGTCAAAGCCCTTAGATTAGTGGATAAAAAGACGGGGTTAATTTCTTTTTCGAAGCTCTTTAACAAGAATTGGGAAGTTTTCAAGACCGATTTAAGGGCAAAAATCTCTAGGTCTCCCCAGGACGTGGAGGATTATTTTTGGAATCTCACAAAGTTTTCTTCCGAGATTAAGTTTCCTGGATTTTCCTACTTTTTATTGGTTAGAGATGTGGCATTTAATTTATATGTGTACTGATATATCGTTATTCGATTAATTATTATAATCTTAAAATTTCCTCATTTTAAACCAAATTTAGATAGAATTTAGTCTTTTTTATTTAGAAATAGAAATAATTTCACATTCTTGCGTTTAATATTTTTATAAATTAGAGACCTATATACCCGAACCGAAACGAACCTTAAAATATAGTTTTAAAAATCCGGCCTAAAATTAATAATTTCAACTGAATTTTTAAAAATTTACCATAAAAGATGACCAGTTAAAAAATCAAATGAAACTGATGGATCATTAACATTCATTCATTCGCTTCTCGTATTTACAATTTCCTACTTATTAAATTAAAATAATTCAAATTTAAAAAATCAGACCAGGTTTATAATATTATCCTTTGCTTAAAAATTTTCTCACTAAAGTAAATCTAAAACGTCCAATAGATAATTCCTATAAATTCTGATGGTGCTATAAATTTTTACCCAAATTTTAAAGTAATAAAAATGTTGTTTATATTGTGAAGTTGCCTTAATTTTCAAGAGATTAGGCAAGTATTACTGTATACTATATAAAATAATTCTTGATTATGATGGTATTTAATGTCATCTTAAAACTGTGTCTTATAAAATCACCATGTGACTGAGATTTCCTAACTAGTTGATTATTTACTGGTCATTATCGAGCAGCAAATTTGTCTGCATAAAATTTTTTATTCAATCTTAAATTGTTTTGTTGTATTTATATAATATCTTGAAATTATAAGTTTTTAATTTTCGTAATATAATCTAATCCTATTCTTGTTTTTGCTTTATTATATTATAAAATTTTGTTTATTTTTTTTCTCAAAAGTCGATTCATTCCCGCACTTACCTAGCCTGCGAAAGACTATTTAGCCGCTATATCCTGTTTCTGGGTTATTTGGCCTTAGCTATCCTGCCTACTACTTGGAGTGCATCCTTCATACTTTTGCAAGAGAGGGCCTTAATACTGAGACAACAAGTGTCCGATAAACGGGGTGGGTTTTTTGTCAAGCTAGAAACTGCTACTAAAGGACTTATGAGACTCCTGTTGCTAACTTTTACAGCCCCGATTCCCGAACAAAACGGGTCTAATAATACCGGAAATGCCGCAAGATTCAGAGCTATCACTGGGCTGGGAACTGAAAGCCTTGCGGACAAAGTGGCCTAAAGGAAATGAATATCTTATCACTTTTACGTTGTTTTTTTTTCGTTAAGCAACGACTTTTATTTTGAAAATAATTTTTTATCTTATTCTTTTCTTCTTCCCCCTCCCTCCACTCATCTTTATCATTGTATTGAAAATAATACTTTCTTTGGTAATATTACTAAATAACTATCAATTTATAAAACGATTAAGAGGAATAAGATTCGAAAATAACGCAATATTAGTATTTTAAACTATTTTTTTTGAAACTATATAATTAATTATTTATAGTTTTAATTGATTACATTTACAAATTTTAATTCGTTTAAAAAATATTATTAAATTTTATTGCTCACTTTTTGTTGTATATTATAACTACGTCTACAGGAACTGATCTTTTTTTTATATTTAGATTTTTCAAAACAATTAAAAAAATAATTTATATGACACAATAGCCCACTTTTGGATTTAGAAGTTATGTAACCTTTTTTCGAAATTTTTTTATTTCTAATAATGTAATATGTTGCAAATGTTTGATTGTAATTTCTTATTATACATTTTTTTAAAGCCTATTTTTTGTCATTATATTTAAACATTTAATTAACGGTCTTGAAATTGAGCAATGATTTTTATAACTAATGATTTAGATTATAAGGGATTTTATCTGTTTGAATTCAAGAAGTAAATGGTTCAGATCTTGTAGGGATTTTTGGAATTCTATGGTTATGTGATTAATATTAATTTGTCAATCTCCTTTGTATTTCTGATTTTATAAATATAGTTTTATTGACTAAAATATAAAGCTTACATGAATCATGAATTTTGAAAATTTAATTAAAATTTAAGGTTGTACTTGTAAATCATCGACAGATATTAGATCTGCTTAGAATTCAATCGTGAACTATATTTTAAAACTTACTTTTGCTCTACAATAAATTGTAATCTTTTAAACATTATATTTCTAACTAATTTTTTTGATAGTATTAACATTATAAAATATATTTTCACAATTTAATATGTATAAATTATATTTATTTTTATACCAACATTATATTATAACCTATGCATTATCCTATAATTTTGATAGTAGATTTTATTTGAAAGTAATATAAGTTTTTATAGAATTAATATTCATTTATATAATGTACGATAAAACTTTATCCTAAAAAAAATTCAGTTATATTATAAAAATGACATATCATTTTTGGTTTTATTAATATCTCAATACATTTATATATATCATATATATATGTCATACAATCATTTTTAATTGATTTTCATAGAAAATTAAAATTATTAAATAAAACTATTAATAAAATAAATTTCGGTATATTCATACTCTCATTCCCGTTTACTTTTATAATAAGCAATCAGATTAAATACTCGTCCGGAGACAAAATTACAAAAGATGACTTAAAATCATTTTTCCAGACCAGGGTATATAGGCAGGTGTCATCAGTCTTGTGATTTAAGGGTTAATTTCCTCTTATTACCATCTTCATCATTTTCACAGCGAAAATCTTCAAGATATCCAAAAAATAACCGTACCAATATGGCAAGTGCAGCCTCTGGGCAATTAGACAATCTTTTTTAATTACTTAATAAAATTCTTAATTTTAAGCAAAAATCTCGTCCCAAATTTGCGGAAAAGGGAGGGGATGCTATTAATGTAAAATATTAGTAGGAAGCAGGCAAAAATTAGATGCGAATTTTTGTTTTTGAGGCAAATTTTTATTAATTTAATAGTTTATATCGAAGCATTTCATATAAAATACCAAATAGGTATTTAGAAATATATAAAATTAATTATATTATTATAACATAATGCATAAATCGTATGGAAATAAACTGCATTATTTGCCGTAGCGAACCTTTTTTAATAATATCAACTCCACGCTACCTTGATTGGTTATCATTTGCACACTTGTGAATTGCCACTTTTTAATATATAAAGAATTCCATTTAACTGGAAATATGTTTATAAAACATGCAAATCCGTCATAATGGCATTCATAAGGTGGAAGCCGCGCTCAAGCGGAATTGTATTAATACAATTTTGAAACTTTCAAATTACGAGGGCATTTATTGCCTTCATTATTATCTATATTCCTTCATCTCATTTATTATGAGATCCAAATTAAGCCTCAGCCGGTAACAAATTTATCTATTTTTTGTTCCCCATAAATGCGAGGGTCTGCTAGCCAGTTATCCTTTTCCAAATATTCCATATCTGATAAGATATCCAAAACTAAAATTTAATATAATATTTTTGATTATTATAATTATCGGTATTATCATCCATAAACCTATTTTGCATATTGTCTATTAAGACAGTAATAATATTTTCGTTGATATCAGATTGCCTTCTCTTTTCCTTTAGCTTCTTATATTTTTATATGTTTTTAAATATTTCGGTTTAATAAAGAAAATTGATTTAAGTAAAATGGAAATAATCTAATTCTCAAATGAAAATATTAAATCAACATTCATTTAGAAATTATATAATATTTGGAATCTATCAGTCATATCCTTAAAAGATGAACAGGAATCGTTCTCTTTATTGATTTTTCAAAGTTAGGTAAATTGATGTTCTTATCTGAAGTTTTAAAGACAGATTGGATAATTCAAATAGAAGATTAGGGCGAGATTTGAAAAGAATTCGCCATTTTCTAACCGGGTGGGCAGCCCGTTAATTTTGCATTGTTGATAGAATTTTTGAAATGCGAATACAGGGCCCTATAGTTATTCCAAACTGCTTTAACAATTAACAGTATCAACTCTGCTAGGCATCAATCGTACATCAAGTACCCTTCTAATCTTCAGCAACAGAAGGCCTAATTCAGACTTTGATCCAAGGCTTTTTTATTTTTGTTAGACTGGCTATATAAACTATATATGTCAATAAAGGCTTTAAAAGGATTAACGCCTATAACAATTTTTATTGCATCGGGCATCGCTATTTTTAAACGATGATTTATTGGATGTATTGCGCAAAGGCTCTATGCTATAAAGAAATCCAATTTTTTGTAAAAAAATTTCAGAAAACGTAGCGGATTTAAGAAGATCCAGTAAAGTATGAACTATCCTCTCTACATCTTTCAATTCCAATTCAATTAGGTCTATAAATTTAAAAATAGAATCATCATAAGAAAGCACCAATTCCGATTTTACTAGCCAAGGCGGGCAAAATGGTAGATTCATCTATTAGTAATTTTCCATTGTTAATTGTGATATTATTTACAATTTTTATTTGCATTTTCTAAGCAATAAATTATTAACAAGACAGAATATGCAAAATATGTCCCATTTAACCGTTGTGATCTTGTACTATTTAATGATTTATAGTTCATATTTTTTTTAAATAAGAAATGTGGTTTTATCAATTTTTTTCCAAAACTAAATATAATTATATCGATGCTAATGTCATTAAAGTGCCTATTTAATAATCATTTCAAGTATATAAATATGTCTCATTACCGATAAAAAAAAATTAATTCCAAATTATTGCTCAAATATATTTTTTTTTAAAATAAGAAATATGATCAATTTTTTCTAAATTTAAATATAATTTACTAAAATCGAGTCTTCACAACGACGATCTCACAGTTTTTCACCAATTGAACCAAGGATCCGGTTACGAATTTCTGGAAACCATACCCTCCAATAACCTTGATTTGTTGCTCTCCGCTGACTAGCTAAGATTTGTTATTGGACTATGGCTCAATTGCGAAATTGTTCTACCATACCAATGCGAACATTGCGAAACCAGTGTCGATAGCAAGGGTAGACATTGCCTCCATTGTCGTTTTTGTCGAGGCCGCTTTTCACGGCACACTAAATACAACGACATCATACTACGTGCCCTCAAATCATCAGGTACGCCATCTAGACTTGAACCAACCTGAATTTTTAGAACCAATGGAAAACGTCCTGATGGAATGTTCCTGATTCCTTGGTCAAGGGGTCAGCTCTGTTTTGGGATTTCACCTGCATTGACCCAAATGCACAATCTAACCGCAACGTCGATGCCCTCGCCCTCGCAGAATCTCGAAAAATCATCAAATACAGTTCCTTAACCATTCTCTTATTAATACCCATCGCCTGCTCCATTCTCACCACCTTCGGTAGCGAAGTTCAACGTTTTTTTAATGAATTAGGCAAACGGATCCGCGAAAAAACCGATCAGCCTAAGGAATCCCTCTTCTTACGCCAAAGACTTGCTCCCGCCATTATTCGCTCTAACTATCTAAGTTTTATCTCTTCCATTGAATAAGCTTCCATATTCCTAGCTTCCTTTCTTTATCCCCTATCCTTTCTACATTTTTTTATTAATTTTACCTTCTAAAAAAATTAATTATTTGCTATTACATTTTGACAACATATTATATCAGTAAATATTCAAATAAAGTAACCTATGATAGGGGGAAAAATATATATATGACATACAAATTATTAAAATGATAGTGATTTCTATTTCTCATGAAAAAAATTTTGATTCCAAGTTAGTGCTCAAATGGCACAAGTTTTTTACAAATAACAAAAAATAAATGTTTTATACTAGGATCAAAAACATTAGCTTGCATAAATCCTTTGATCTTTATTTTTTATATGTAGCAGTTAAAAATTCTCTCCTCGCATAAATAAAAATACGAGGATGTTTAAAAACACAAACTTGCATAAATCCTTTAATCTTTGTTTTTATATGAGGTGGTGTGGTGCCTTTGTGATTAAATCGTTTATAATGTGATTTGATCATAGTTCAAAAGATTTTTGAAATCTTTTGTTTATTTTTTGCTGTTCAAATTAATTTATGTAAAAAAAAATGTTAAAACTTTTCAATTTTGACTACAATTTAGGTATAATTAGACCTGTGCGCCGATGTCTCAATCGACGGCGGCGATATTTTTTAATTTTTTTTCGGCGTACGGCGGCGCAATATTTATTTGAAAATTTTTTTTAATGAATTTAATTTAAAAATCGATTTATTTTTTAATGAATTTAATTTATAAATCAATTTATTTTTTAATGAATTTAATTTATAAATCAATGTATTACATTTTTTTGGGGGCGATCTTTATCTAACACATTGTTAACATAGTTTAATTGACCTTAAATTATATTATTTCCTGTCTCACTCCAATTTAAATTTATGTATTTTCTCATCTCAGAAATAGAGTAAGGACATTTTTACTCAGATCGAGTCACATCAACAACACATATAAGAGATATTCTATTGATTTTTATTATAATTAAAATAAATTTGGAATGCAAGCAAAATATAAAGTATGAAATATACTCAGAATTCAAATTTATCGATATTCTGAAATAACTTTAAGATTTTGAAATCTGGGATCAAGTAGAGTTGCTAATATCTAATGTTTAAAATATAATTTTATTAATAAAAATATAAAATAACTTGAAGTTCAAAAATGGGAAACCTATGGTCAAGCTTTTTTTCCATATTTTCTTTTAACAAATAATATCTGAGCAATCAGATCTATTGATTTGTATATGAGCTTCTATTTCACTGCGAAATAATAACCCTAAGTTTATTGTCGACCCTTTTTAAGAGGAAAGAAATTCCACCGACTCTCAAAATGGATTTAATACTGCATAAAGCTCATCAATCTTAAAGAGTTTTAAAGATTGTTTTCTATTTTATTTAGAAAATTATTTGTAGAAATTTTGTTTACACTGCAAACACTTTCTAGCATAATAATATGCTATGCCAGCGGGTTGGGCAATTTAATTTTAAAGTTGTTATTAATTAGATTGGTTGGTGAATGCCATTTCTATTATCCGATTCATCAGACATATCAAAATGGGGTATGAATCAGAATCATCAATATCCAAGATATGATGTGTTTCTTAAATTGACTACAGACATTTACGATATTCAGGCTCAATTTAGCATTCCAAATCAGCTACTCAATAGCTGAAATAATATCTCTAATTTTTTAATGAGAATATTAATTTTGGCAATTTTTTTTATGCCATCAACTGTAACCAAATTATAAGTCCATGCCCTAAGCATAAATAATTCATAATCACCTAATCTGACGCTTCTTTTGACATTGGCCCCAGCATTAGTTACCACATGTATTATTTTGGCTTATAAATGGAACTCCTCTTCAATACTATCAATCTCGATAATATTGTACCCCCAGTATACTTTTGAGTCACATTTCTGAGTAAAATATTTTAAATCAAAATTTTCTTATAAATGATGAAGACTAAATGTGATTTCTACGCTTGAAATGATCGGTCCATAAGTCAAAAGTGATAGAACAAAATTTTGGTCCAGAATCAATCAGATTTAAAA